GTTTTAAAAAACGCAGTATTAATAGGCAGAGATGTGAAATTGAATTATAACTAATTATACTGGTAAACTGAATGTTACCAGTTATATATATTTGGTCCCACGTTTTGGGGTGGAATGTTTTCGGGCGGAAATTATTACTGATAGTTTCTAGACATTAATTTTCAATAACATCCGACCCGAATAATTGCATCGCAAGTTTTCTTATTTATGTCCGTGTGGTGACGGATTCAGAATATAGCGTGTCTTCATCCTTATTCATCCTATGGGTGTCGTAAGAGGGGACTAAGGGAGCAAATTATGCAATGACAACAGTACTGTAAATAGAAGGAAAACTTGAAACAAACATTTCAATCCGTCTGGCCAGCGTGGTATAGTAACCAAAATCTTCTTTCTAAGTAGAGGCCTATGCCCAGAAGTGGACTATTAAAGGTTGTTAATGTGATGTGATGATGTGAAGTTTTTTTATGGTATAGGGGGAAATTAGCAAACGGGTCACCTGATGATAAATGTCTAAAGCCGTCAATGGACATCTGCAACTCAGAAACACAAGAGATTTGCCACTCATTAAGTGCCCACTTGGAACGCACGGAACGGATGGCGTAGTGGTTTAAGCGGTCGCCAAGCCGCTTCCTACTACGCCTCGGCGTAGTAGGAAGCGGGTTGTTCTCTGTTGTGGGTTCCATGGTTGACGACACTTTGTGTGATCCACAAATTGTTGTTCTGAGTCTGGGTGTTCTTTGTGTTCGTTTCATGTATGTTTTGCAAAGTCCTCCGCGACACAGGATATATTCCTAATGTGGGAGTTGTCTTTATTAAAAGAAAAAAAAATCTTGTAATTTGTAGTGGCTTTTGATAACCTCATTTACTCGGTGGAAAGGAACGAAAGAATTATTTTTTAAAGACAACTCCAGTGTCCCATCCTGTGTCGCAGGGGACTTTACAAACGGACACAGAGAAGACCCAGACTCAGAACAACAATTTGTGCATTACACAAAGTGTGGTTCCATGTGGAATCGTACCCACAACACTAACCGTGCTAACTAAACCACAATGCCATCCATGCAGTCATTTAACACAGGTTTTCTAGGTGGCCCTGGTATCAAGGACTAAACCCACAAATCAAGACTCAGAAGTACTTTGGTGGTCATTGACAATGACGTAACCATGGCCATTTAAGAGTGCCTGCTAGAGTAAGGATTTGGTTTAAACATTTCTTGGACTAATTTAAGTTTTTCCTTGCAGAATATTTTTGGTATGGGAGGTTTTAATAGGGAACATCCATATAGACCCCGTACAAAACCTCCACAGGTAAAAATGAACTGAATACAATAATATATATTTGTCTCCTTCACTCTTCATCTTTTTAGAAATATGACCAACCATGTCTCAGTGTCGTCACTATTTATGACCAGGAGTACAGGAAATGATTTTTACAATTATCTTACTTTCTATATTTCTTTCTTTATTTTATTACTATGTTTTATACTTGACACGATTATTAGCGGTAAGTTTTCGTGTAAGAATGAATTAAGTTTAATGAAAAACTTAGTTGATTTACATTTTTCGTGATGAAAAGGAAAAAAAACGAAAGGTAAGTTTTAAAATCTCTACATACATACCATCCTGTACATTTCAACGGATCTGTTGGTATAGTGGTCAATGACGCTCACTGTTAAGCCGGAGGTCGTGCCTTCAGTTCCCACCCAGGGTAAATAATTGTGTAACGAGCACGATCATTTGTTCTGTGTCTAGTTTGGGATCAGACTGTGGTGTGAGAGATTTGAGAAGTTATTATTATTATAATAACACTGAAGTTTTACTATTTTACTATTTATTAAAATGCGTTAATCTCTGAAACAAATGTAATTTCGTAATAGAATCATAGATTCCGTAATAGGTTACCGATACAAAAAAAAAAAATAGAATTATTTGAAAAAGTGTGGTCATAGTAAAAATTTAAAAAAAATCTAGTGTTAACAAATTTTTAATACTAATTAAAAAAAAAAGAGTTTTTTTTGTTCTCGAGTAGTCATAAGCAGGTCCACTATCTGGTGCCTGCTTTTCGTTAAATTTTGGGACACACTGAAAATATATATATTGTCATATACTTGTGTCATTTCTGATGATATTGATGATGAGGGGGAGGGGTGGGGGTTTAAAAGCGAGAGGGAGTAAAGCTATTTAAAATCATATTATATGAAGTTCTATCTCTTTGTCTCACTATAATCGTATCGAAAAGAGAAGATAAAATCATACGGCAAATAGTCACTAACATGTTAATTTAAAATGATTTATCATAGTCAATTTATCATTGAAAATGTCAATTCCCTTATTAATCATCAACAGTCTTTCATAGTCCACTGCTGGATATAGGCCTCTCCTTAGAAAGGAGGTTTTGGGCTACTCTAACACGCTGACCAGACGGGTTGGTAAAATGTTTGTTTCAAGTTTTCCTTCTCTCTGCGGTGCTGCGTAGTTTGCTCCCTTAGTCGGCTCGTAGGAAACCTAGGTGATGAATAGGAGTGGCGACCCTCCTTATTTTTAATCCTTCACCGCAAGGACAATTACTTTACTAAACTATATTTATATTCAATATTGTATTCAATATTGTATTCTCTCTCTGTAGATTGGTATCATCAATTACGGAACGAACGGAGCCGGCAAACCGGATGTTCCTCCATCGAATGTAAGTGTAAACGAATTTCGACTCTACATCAACGACCCCCTTCCTCCAAACCTGGGAGGAGGGATTAATAGGGTGCCAACTTACTTGCGAGTCACTTATCATTAGGTGAATTGGGCCACAATTCTGCTATTTTTAATATTTTATCAATAGACTGTGGATGGAATGTCGTCGGAATAGTTTTGCGCTTTTCCTATTCTACTAACTATGTAAGACCAATAGCCTCCCTCCTAGATAACATGACACTGATACAAATGTCGTCGATGTCTTTGTAATAGTTTGGTAAACGGTACATTTTAAATTTGTAAGAAAATGAAATATTCAATTTGTCCAGGTATGGCAATGTAATAATAACCTTACACATGGCATCTCAATAGCGTGTCAATGGAATGACAGTGGCTTGGGGTTTTAAATAAAATAGCAGAATTGAGGCCTTAGGCAGGCCGTCGGGATGGTTTTTAGTGGAAACAAGATATACCTCTGCCTCCGGCGTCCATAAAGAGTCAGGGATCCGAAAAACAAGTAGCGTATTCTAGCTTTAGAAGAGATTAGGTAGAGAAATAGGGTGGCAATTAATGACATATTAGTAGAATAATTTCTATAACCGCACCATCCATCTCATTGCCTGGAGAGAGGAAGGAGGGTAGGGGGAGAAGGGGGAAAAGAAAATAGGGAGATTCACACAGAACAATACAAACTTCATACTTTATTGAATACATGCAATATAATAAAAAATGTTCACCAAACAGATTTGTACAGAACCGAACATCCAAGGTAGACTCTTCTACTCTGATGTAATTTTTTCAAGCTATGATGACCTCTTGGAGGAAAGAGAACCGTATGCATTTGACAATAAAATCGAATTCCATATAACTCTATAAATGTATTGTTCTGTTCGATATCTTTACTTAAGTTAAATGTCTCTTTGGGGTCAGCTCATACTGGTAGAATACTGAATGTACAAACTACCGTTTACTGCCTAGGTAATGTAGTGGTAGTGTATGCGACTGCTGTGCTGAGGTCTCGGGTTCGATTTACGGGTCGGACCAAATATTTGTATGATCTGCAAATAATTGTTTCGGAGTTTGGGTATTTTCTATGCATAATATGTATGTATTTTCAAAAAAAGTAAATAAGTGTTTTATCAGTCAAGTCTCTATTTAGTATTTCTCAAGTAGCTCTGCTTAGTTTGAAACTAAATGGCGTTGTGTGTCAGATGTCCCAAATATTATTATTATTATTTACAGATGGCAAGTCAACAAAATTGGAAAATACCAAGAATATCACCATGGTCTAGTTATAAGCCCGGGCCAGGACGTGTAAGTATGACCACAGATTAGTTATATGTCCAGATGCAGTGTTGCACTACAAATCAACTAAATCAGGCGGTCAAATTTTGTTATGCTGGTGTACGCTCATATAAAGCGTTTAAAGTGACACACACAAACACACACACTCATAGACACACATACATACACACGCACACACACACACACACACACACACACATACACACGAACACACACATACACACACACACTTATACTAATTTTTCACATAATTTTTAACACGATTTCCTAGTTCTACGAGTTACTCTTAAATATATAATTTTACTGCTTATGTGTTTCTTTAAGAAATTATAAAGTAACTCCTGAATTTCACATTGCACCCAGAAAAACTACTAACTGTTCTCGAGGGATGAATAAATTGCATTTACGCGAGCGAAACCAGTTTTAATTATAAATATTATGAAGCTTTGTAACTTTTTTTCAGCAAGGGCAATCTACCTTACCGGTAAGTAAATGAAGATATAATATTATTATTTTATAATGAAGATATATAATTTTATTCCATTTCTCTCACAATATTTTCTTAAAAATGGTGAAATCGTTACTTAAAATAACGTGCATATTCAATTATCATTAACAGAATGCTAAAGTAAAAGAATACATTTATAAAAAGCTTCAAGAAAACTTGTGTAAAAACAGCTTATTTAGTTTATTTTTCGACTCTTAAGTGTCTACACACAAAATAAACATAACAACTGTTTGCAAAAATGGCGATATCCTAATAGCCAAAACGTCGGGCCAAAACTTCTGGCCTTTCCCTAGAAATGAGGTTTTGGGGTCCTATACCAAGTTGGCCAAGCGGGTTGGTATATGGTCTGTTTTAAGTTTTTCTTCTTTTTGTACTTTTCTTGTCCTGCTTAGTTTATTTGTATTCTATTAGTAATTTTGAAAATTTTACTTCGTATTAGCCTGAAGAACGTTTATTTCCTGATTTTGTGTGGCCACCTCGGGATGAGAGCAGCAGGGACATGGCTGAATTGGTAAGACTCTATTTTGATATGTCATTTTGCCCACAGCTTGACTTGGATGAAAACCCGGTCCTGAAAATGCTAGTGCGGCGGCCTACGTCAACAATAGTCGCTGCTACAGATATGACAGCCACATTTACAGTATCATTATTACCAACAATCACAATGTGGTATTTACCTAGCCATTTAACTATACCACAGCGGGTAATTTATAGACCTATACAAATACCACTTACGACCTCGTATCGAAACTTAGGCATAAATTTAGTTGCAGAATCACAAATAGATCAAAATTTTGCCTTGTTGCGGTCTCTATCAATGCCAGATGGTTTGGCATCAACAAACGTGTCAGTAGATACAACCCTTTGGGCTGACAAAAAAGACAAAGAAATTCATTATAATAATGGCCAAGACCGCCAAGACTCCAACAAAGTTGTGATGAGATCTCAACAACAGAGAGAGACAAAGCCAGAACATATTGCTAAACCGAGAACCACTCTAACCGTTGTGGACAATGAAAGTCTCGAATCGGATGTTGAGCTAATCAATAGTGAAAATTTGATAAAAACTAGAGGACAAATTCCTTTACAGCGGTTTCATCTGTTACACACTTCAAATATTCCACATTTATTATGGAACGAAATGAATGATCCTCTAAAGGAATCTGAATTGCACCACAAAATCTCTGCACCGAATGAAGTTGTTGAACCAGTTACACATGTTGATGATTCTATTAAAAATATACAATATCAGTCCACATTATTGAAAGCTCCGAAAGCATTTTATCAAAAGAACATTTCACCATTAAAAAATACTTTGAATTTCCTAATGGAACCAACAATCACAAAACCTCTGCAGCCACAGACGCAACATCATTTTGTGTCTGTGCAAAAAAATACAAATTATAATGGGCAAATAGAATCAGAAGACGATATTAAATTTAGTGATCTACTGCCAGACGACCATAAATCAAAATCACCTGATACGGGTCTAGATTTTACCAGATCATCGACCAAAGACTTTTTTGTCACATATTAAGGTCGATATTTCCTTGACATTAAGATATTGTTATTTTTATAATTCTATCCGGTCATAGAAATAACTTGAATTGTATTTATGTCAAATGTGTTTTTAATTATTTATTTTTAATATTAGAATCTGGACTTAAGAATCTTATTTTCTTGCGCCTGTATTCAAATTTGGAAAACACTACACAACTAGCATAGCTCATTTCCTCGCATCACAACTTTGCATCCACTGGTGCTACCTACTCCCAGGTTTTCTCTAATGTACACATTCTTGATGTTTTCTTGTTTGTCTATTTGATTGTAGTCACATAACAACTTAACATTCGCATTTCAGCTACCTGCACCATATTTGACCCGAGCAACTTCGTCTTTCTCTTAAAAAGGAATAAATTTTCCCGTTTTCGCAACATATTTTAGTGATACTCGGCTCCTATTGATCGATTCATGATGTTATATAGCGTATATTCTTTCCCGATAAAAGGGCTATCCAACACTAAAAAAAATTCAATCTGAACCTTGCGATTACCTACCCCGAAGATACAAACTCACAAACTTTACCTCTTTATTATATCAGTACAGATCTCTCAAAGTCTTCTTTCTCATTCCCTGACTTACTTTTTATATTACGAAATAAAAAACTATTCGATTACAAAAAAATAAAACAATACAAACCTGACAATAATGAACACAATTTCTTTTTTTCAAATTTGGTGCAGTTGTTATGTACATTTCGGCGAATCATTTTTATTTATTTAGATAGATTGAAGATAGATATTTATATGTAATAATGACCTCAATGTGTTGAAGCTCAAGAAATACCTAAAACTCAGTCAGTGCGCTGTAAACCACAATCTCAGCTAGTTTTCTCCGGTCGGCAAAGTCCTCGGCACATAATATGAGTCCTTAAATAATGTAGCGTGTGAATTAATTAAGTCTTTTCTTTAGTTTTATAAAAAAATTTAGTTGTATATACTTTTAAATAAAATACAGTACAAAATATAGGTGCTTTATTCATTTGTTAGTTAGTATGTTAAATATACATAGATATAAACACAGATATATGGGCCTTTCTCTACTAACTGGAAACTTGTCTATTGACAGTTGTCCCAACCCTATTTTTCTAGAAAATTAAAAATATTATATGTTAAGTCGATAGATAGTTATAATTAAGTACATATAAACAAGAAACCATTGTAATTTTCCCTTATTTTTCGAATTATAGGCAATTTTGTAAAAAAATGCGACAGAGGACTGTTTTGCCACCCAGAGGACTGTTTTTTCCATCCAGAGAACAGTTTATGTCAATGTTTATATGAAGCAAAATACAATATTAATTATTAAATGTAATCAAATAAATTCTCTTCTTTATTTAATACTAAATCACATACAGAATTTAAATACTTATAAGTATTGATGATAAATCAGGAACAAATTGCGAGCTTAGCTCTCTAAGTAACAAATTAAAATAATTATAATCAAAATTAAGCTTAGGTACTAAGAATCAGCCTTGTTTACTTATCAATGCAGACTTATTTCTCAAAAACAGGTACAGGTATATTAAAATAATAAAATATTCGTTTCCCTTTTAGGGCAACATCTGGGTTTGGCAACTTCTTTATTACTTGGTCAAAGGGCACATCAGAAACATCATTTTCATCGACTCTGAATGTGTGTCCTTTGTCATCACAAATTTTTAAGAAGGTTACTGTTAGTTCGCCTTCTTCCGTGTCTATCTTATTGATTACTGCAGCATAACAATATTCAGTATTTCTTACTAGAAATTTAACCAAGACGTAATCACCGATGGTGTAATTCTGTTGGTTGATTGAACTAGGTCCAGCCAGTGCACCGTCGTCTTCGGTTTCCATTGTGGAATCCTGTGAGTTGTCCATGTTTTCACTTTCAGAGTCTGTGTAAATATCATCTACGTTAAGTTTTGTCTTGTTTTTGTACTCTAACACTCCTAAATTGAAATGCTGGCACTCGTCTTCACAAGTGCAACTTAAACTTTTCATTATGAGTTTAGCGGCCTTTGGAGCTAATTCCAGAGGACTTCTTAATATTTCAGCCTTTACTTGATGTATTTTAAGAGTGCCATTAAAGCTTTTTAAATTAACTGTTTCATTTTGAAGGCCGTCTGTCAATTCTTGGATGGCTTTATCGTCGATTGTGAACAAGGTAATTGCGGAACATCTTCGTTGAATGGCCTCTACAAATGATTCCAAGTTATCAATATCACCTCCTGTAGCGACGACGGCATCAGCGGTTCTCTTGCAGGTCGCTCCAATACCATCAGGGGCCCCTTTGCCATGGCCACTCTCTGAATAGTTCCAGGTAAACTTCTTCACATTTGAAACCTCTTGTTGAAGCCTTGATGCCAGGATGTAAAACATCGTTTTGTTTCTGTATTGAGTTACGGGTCCATCGCTGACGAAGTGAATGCTCTTTATGTTAGGTGGGAGAGTTTTAAAGATTGGCCGCAAATGTGCCCATATAGCAGCTGGTGAATGTGTGAGATTTTTGGAAACGGTACAATAAGACTTGATAGACTTTTTGGTATACACTACCACAGTATGAAGACTTAGCTGAAGTCTCGACCCTCCAAAATGAAATGCTTGTATTTCTTCACCGTATTTGGAACAATAATTTTCTGAAAAATCCATATGTATGATAGCGTCTTCGTCGGTAAGGTTTTGTTTGTATTTCTTGATAGCATTGTATTGATGGGTAATGTTTCTCTCGTGTTGATAATAGGCTTCCAAATCCTCGTGCAGCTCTTCTATTAGTTCTCGAGGGCGAACCGTGAACATTTTCTTTAGGTATTTGGTAACTGTTCGAGCATTCTTGGTCTTGGGGTCGTTGTAAGTTTGTTTCTCAGATATCCATTGTTTAAATTCAATAGGCTTGCTGTCATCAAACTCCCTGTAGTCAGGATTTTTGTCAATACAGCGTTGGCAGGTTCGTGACAAACATAGCTCGTCATAGCGATTACAACATGTCTTTTCAAGCAGTGCAGTGTGACTATTGTAAGTCAAAATTCTTCTTCTGTGCAATGCTGACAGTTTCAGATCGATGTTCGCGTGCTTAATACAGAGGCACGTGTTACGTTCGTTTACATTTGGTGTTATGACCCAGAAAGGACGTAGACGACAAAACGTTGGGTAGCTTATTTTAAAATGTTCAGCTTGAAACTTCTTGTATAAATTTCCAATGCTATCCGATAGATATCTTTTCTGTTTTTTAACCCCTTTTCTGGTCAGGCATTCTCGTTTTCCTGCGCCAAGTCTGCTGTTGTCATCATTTTCGTAGAAGGTTCGTACAGTACTTATGCAATCAGATGAAATTTTGTCTTTGCGAGTCCGAGGCTTGGGTACTAAACCCGATTGACGCGCTGACTTCTGAATAGTTTTATAAGATATGGAACTATCTTTGCTTCGCCATAACTTGTACTTGTGTATTAGTTTACCGGACACGACTTTTCCGAATATTTGTTTCTCTTTGCAGGTTTTTAAATTAGCGTAGTTTTCTTTCAGCTGGGCATTCAACACTTCACCGAATAGCGCCTTTTTGACTACTTCTCTGCGAGCTCCTGGCGAATCACACATTTCGGTCAGTTTAGTGTTAGGTGTGTCTACATTTTTCTTTGTCTTAGCTTTTTCCAAACGTTCTAATCTCTTCCTATACTTCTCGGATTTTTTTCTGTAATACTCGATCTTTTTGTCTTTATCCTTTATAATTTTGTCACGTTTCTTTCTAGCATTACGCTTTCTCGCATTACTTGCATCACTTCGTGGAGTGGTCATAGGTAGTATTGATGGAGCGACAGAACTTTGAGGAGAAGGTGAACCCTCGGATTCGGGCGTATTATGTCGTACAAAATTGTTTGTAATTTCTTTCAAAGCTTTTTTTTTTGCGCGATATGTAGCACAGTGCTTTCTCCATTCTTTAGTCACAGCTTTGTGTTCACGTCGATTCATATCTTTAACTGACTTTCTTATGCCTTTTTCCTTCTTTCTTTGGTAGTTTCGTCGTTCTTTTTCCTTCAATTGCTCTCTTTTTACAGGGTCATTCTTTAGCCGTTGATATCTTAATCTTTCTGCAATTCGTTTCTGCTCTTTTATTTCTTCTTTGGTTTTAGGTTTCTTCTTTGGTGGCATTGCGGCAATACTAAAACAATAAAACATACTTTCAATATTAAAAAAAAACCGTAAGGGTTTAAAAACAGGTAGTTACTAGGTACGTATTATTTTATATTCCAAAATCCATAATAGAAAACAAAAGACCTGAATTAGCGTGACAGGCCAATGTAAGAAAGAAAGAGGCTATCGGCAAGCAGTAGGTTAGTGCAGACTATAAAGAATATTAATAAAATACACGGACGTCAAATAAAACAGTCCTCTGTCACATTGAACAGTCCTCTGTGTTATAAATTTCCAGAGGACTGTTGCACAGAGGACTGTTATTTTTACGTAAAAAATGTCATACCACGTATAAGTTTAAATATTAATTCATAACACAGAAACAGCTATAAATTATCACACTGAGCAATTTTTTTTGTAAAATAAATATAATTAAAACACATAAAATACCGTAAAATAGACTTACCAGAGGAATGTTTACTCAACACTACAGAGACGTGGCTCCCACACAGACGCGGAGTTGTCACTGGGAAAAATGGCGGCGACTTGTTTAGGATGGCAACCGAGCAAACTTCACACTGTTAATGTTCCATTTGACGCGAAATGTAGCCACAATAGTGTTTAATATTTTTGTGGCGCGATATTCAAATTGTGACAGAGGACTGTTCAAAAATGTATCGGACAAAATTCAAACACTAGTTTTTAGTACAAAAAAATTCTCTAAAATTATAATTGTTTTTTGTTCACATGCATTCAATATTCTTTATGTTCATAGAGTAATAAGATTTTACATTTTTAAATACAACTAATAAAAACCGAACCGAATCATACTCGATCCAGAATTAGGACATAACAGAGGACTGTTTTTAGT